ACCTCCTCCCTCCCCCTCACTGTGGGAACCTCCTCCCTCCCCCTCACTGTGGGGACCTCCTCCCTCCACCTCACTGTGGGCCTGGCCAGCATTTCAGGACAGTAGCTTTTCACCTGTGCACAGCACGGTGTACACAGGAGCTACTTTGAATATTGAATTTATCCATTTTAAGTTATGGAGATGAATTTATATAGTTCATTGTTTAACTCTTATAAAATTCATATTTGACTTTCTAATTCTGCTGTTCTCAAACCCTTTCATTAAAGCATTGTTCACCTCGTAAGTGGCTGGCCACAGCCATCCTTTGTGAGACTTCTTCCACTCATTTGTAACTGTGTTTAAAATTTTGATCTTGTCACTCTCCAGGTGTCTAGTAAGGAATAGGGTAGAACTGTTACAGTTTACTGAAAAGCTCTCTGTCACATGTTAGTGGCTTTTGCAAAGTGTCTCCCGCATAGATGCCCTGAGTGGTCACTCACACACCCACACTGACAGCTGTCATTCTGTCTCCCTGCTTCCTGTGGCTTTACCATGTCTATTTCTCTGGAGGTTTTTGAGCTGGTTCTGGTTCAGGGTTGAGCCACCACTGAAAAGCAGGCAAGTAATTCCTCAGGGCTCCCCGAGTGGCCTGGCCTTCTGCTGTTCCTGCATTATGAGTGAGAATTGGACATGGAACCAGGGTACAGTGGGCAGCCCGAGGCATTCGTAGGTGGCTGAGTGTATATTCATCAACAGCAGAAACTGACACTGATCTTAGCACCATCTCATTTCTACTGCCATTGACTTCTTAGAGGAAAAGTCACATAGAACTGTTCACAAGAAATTATTAAAAATAATTTTGGTGCAACCCTCACACAAATACCTCATCACACTCCTTTACCGTTTTTTGCTGGTTCCTGTGCAGGTCACCAAAGAATAGTTAGTTGTGACAATATTGCAAAAATGGCAGCTAATGTTTACTAGGTAACTGTTGGGGCTCAGAAAATAGCACCCCCAAAGGAAAGCCTCAGAAGCAGCCTTCGAAGCAAACGCTATTCTCTGGCCTTCTCCTGCCCTCCTGCCTCTGGCCCCTCATTCCCCTCATTCTATGGGGCTAGCCATAGAAACTAAGATCCCTTTCCCCCAAGGCAGGTCATAGAAACCAGAGATCCCTTTTCCCAAAGCCAGCCACAAAAGCTAAAAATATTACTCTAACTTTCCCTCTGCTGTGTCTGTGTAAAAACTACCATAAAGAAATTATCTGACCTACGTTGTTTGGCTGTTGGTCATAAGATCCCATCCCAGGAAGGGTCCTGCCCGTACCCGGGAGGGAGACACACCGCTCAGAGCGGTGGAGGACAGACTGGCCTTGCTGGTGTCCCCACTCCGTCCGTCCCGTCCTGTTTGTCCACTCACGTTCCTACACAGCTGTCTGTACTTTTTTGAACCTAAGCATAACAATGGACAATTTCCCCGTATCTTTGGGTTTTCATTCTGAAGGCTCCTATGTATACACGTGAAATAAATTTGTATGCCTTTTCTCCATTTAATCTTTCTTCTGTGAGTTGATCTTTCAGCAAAACTTCCGAGGCCCAGGGAAACTCAGTCCCTGGCCCCCTGCACAATCACAATTTGTCCCACCCTGTGCTAAGTGCGGTAAATTTTCTTTCAGTCCTCACTAATGTTACCACCTCCATTTACCAATTGTCGAAACCGAGAGCTGCTGTGAGTTAGTTTGCAGGACCCACATTCAGGCTGGGGACTTGCAGGGCCATCGCTATGCTGTGCTTCCTTCCAGTATCACCAGTGTCCCTTACACACCCCTGGCAGGACACAGGGGGCTGGACACAGGGGGCTGGCTTCCCACTCTCCCCTTAAGGCACTGGTAAGAGGCACCTGCATGCAAAGCCAGCCCCCCCCTCCCCCCCCCGCAGCAGCCAAACACCTCCCTCGCTCCTCACACTGACCTCGTGTTGCTGTGTGGGTCCCTAACTTAACTGTCATCTCCTGGGGGAGGAAGGAAAGAGGAGATGAGCCTCCCTCATGCTTTCCAAATGGTCCTCATGTACTTCTTGTTATCTCTATCAACCAGCTGAAGAAATTAGCCTCGGGATCCTAACCAGCTCCTTCTCAGACTGAGGTAGTTTCCCGAGGAACAGGCACTATCTTACTAGCATTCAGAAGGCCTTTGATTTCTTCGGGGGTCCAGAGGGCTTACTTAGCGGCTCCATTCAGAGGTAAGTACTGGCTGGCTCAGGACCTCCGGGCACAGTCTGTCTTTTTAATGATCCTGTTTACTAAGGTACAGGAGGCAATTTTCTTAAAGTTGCTCAAAGCCCTGCTCTGCGAAGATAAATGTCTCCCATGGAGCCTCTTGGTTTGCATTTTGCCCCAGGCCTTTTCCCTCCGCTTTCCCTGTTAGTCCACCGAGAGCAGAGAGGGTGTTAAAGATTCACTTCACTAATTCATGGCCAATTAGGAAGCTTTGTTTTGAGTCTGACCGGGAGGTGGTTGGCTGTGAGTCTGGAGCCCTCCTGCCCCTGCACTCCAGGGCATAAAACTTCCTTCAGTTGGTCAGAAAACAGAAACTAATGGTGAAAACAGTTCCCAACTTGGGCCTAGCTGGTTACAGTGGCACACACAGCCTGCTTTATTATCAGAACACATGTTTGCCTGCTGTTACGTAGCCCTGGGCTAAGCCTCCACATCTCTAAGAGTTTTGTTCCATTCTTAACCCTTCTCTGTTTTAATCTGCATGGGAGGCTGATCTAGAACACACAACCGGGAAGCAGACATGCTTCCTTTCTTTCCTTATTCGTGGCAAAATGACTTTCTCCAAATTTGAATTTCGTATTTCATGATTATTTTTCTTTTCCTCGGGATGCTGTCTCAGCTTCATCCTGGATTATGTCTTGAAGGGGCTGTCTGATGGTTAACTGTGATTGAAAGCTTTCTTAGATAGGAATCCCCCAGGCTGCTTCAGAGCAGGGGGAAAGTGCTTTTGACTTCCAGAAGAATGTAAATTAGCGCGGCTAAGGGCTACATTAAGGAAAAAAAGATCTCTTAAGCAAAGCATGAGTTTTGTTCTGGGGGTAAAACAGAGCTCTCAAATTGGGAAGCAAAAGGTGTGCTTGTTCTTTGCCTTTTTGTTCTTTAATTGATGTATAAAACTTTAACCTGTGTGTCTTAAGACTTTACTTTTCTAAAAAACATCATCTGTAGCTTCCAAAAGGTTATTTTATCCAATGTGATTGATTTTTATGGCCTAAAGGTTGAACTGCATGCCTTAAAACAAAACAAAACGAAATGAGTATAAAATTCCCACCACCTTCCGGGCTGCGTTCTCTTACCTGGTTCGATGTCCAGAGAGTAGCTGTCTATTTCCAGGTCAAGTTGCTGGGCTGCCACAAAACGGAAATCCTCCAGGACCCCGTGCACTGCCTGGGTGAGGTTATACGGCACCGACTGGGCAAACCTCATTTTGCTATTCACGATCACGCTCCCATTTCGAAAGTTAAGTATTTCGAGTTGCTTAAATCCCGTAAGATTGGATTGCAGATATGGAACCAGCTGCAAAATAAAACATGGTTATTTTCTCTTAGTCGTGTTCTGAGCGCTCAGCTGCTGCTAATTCCACTTATAGTCACTTTTCATTATCTGGGGCATAAATTTCACTTCCTTTTAACTGTTTACATTTTTGTTTCTGGGTTTAATGGGAGACCAGAACACCACCCTGCGTAATGATCTGTTTGCACTGATTATGTTCCTTATTTCCACCCTTCTATCAGTGGATTGAGATGGATGGGCAGTGGTTTTCTTCATGAGGAATGGTGGGAATAGATGATTTTTAAAAATCCAGGCCAATGCTATCTGCAAAGCTGGAATGCCAGGTTCAATTAGTTAGTTAAAAAAATTTCAAGTAAATAAAAACTGTGTTCCAGACTGAGCCAGAAGCAGACTGACCTACGCCTGTGTAAATGGGACATCTGCTGGGAAGTGACCAATTTCAAATGATCCACAGAAACAGACAACAGCTTAACACTCGGCGCGTCTGTCTATGCAGCATTGGCACATAGATATATGCCCCCCACAAATGTGGGGTGGCGGAAATGGCAGGGAACTGGCAGTCAGGAGGCCTGGGTTTCAGTCTTGGAGCCGTCCCGGACTAGCTGAGTGACCTTGATCAAGCTCACCCACAGTGCTGTGGAGGGGCTGTGTTGTACCTCCCTGCCCTTATCTGAGATGTAAGGGAGAACAAAGAGGGGTGACGCCTTTCCAAGTCAAATAATAGTAATCTCAAAAGCATGTTCCAGGGCCTTCTGCTCCAGCTTCTCCCATCTGCCTCTGTGAGCCTCAGTCTACCTTGAGATCATTTTACAAAAAGGTTTGAAACTCAGCCATGTCTGCCTGGTCTGTGGCCCGTCACTCATGAACTGTGTGTTGGTGAACCCAGATGGCACAGAGATGCCAGCTGCCGTCTCAGAGGCTTGGCCCATAACTACTTTTTCTTTGTCCCTGCCCCACCCTGCCAGAATTTTGACTCTGACCCTTACCCACATTCTGGTGTCTCCTTCACAAGGTTCCTGGGTAAATAAAATGGAATTTCTTTTTTCAATCTCTGCTCTTCTGACTTCTCCTACTTTGGGCTCCTTCTTCATGTCTTAGCATTTCTCTGGCCTCTGGTGGGGACTCCCTGTCCCTCCTAGTGTGCAGATGGCCAGCCACCCCTTCCCCAGACTCAGTCTCTTCACAGGCAAGAAGCTGCCCAGGGGACCACATATTTGGCCTCCTTTGCAGCAAGGTGTGGCCATGTGATCAGTTTCCACCAATAGGATTTGAGTGGAGGTGATGTGGACAACGCTGGTATCACCTGTTAGAAGGAAATTGCTTTTCCTTGGTTTCCTATCTTTTGGCTTCTCAAAGTGGAAGCAGGGATGCGCCAGTGACCCAGCTTTGACCACACAAGGGAGGGGACACCTTTGGGGTTGGCAGAGCTATAAGATCGAAGAACTTCAGTTCTTGAATGATACTGTAGAGCAGGGCTGTCCCACTCATCACAGGAGAGAGAAATAAGCCTGTATCTAACTAAAGTCCCTGCGTTCTTAATCTCCTCATTGTAGCAGCATCGCAGGAACCCTCATGAGGGTACCGTGGCTAGGGTCACAGGGACTCTGTTTCCTGACACCTCCTTGTATCTACACACCTCAATGTGAGAGTTGGGAGGTGGAGGGGATGCGCCAGATAAAGTCTTACTTTAAAGCAAATATCTATTGGAGACATTAGATTTTATGTTGATTTTAATTTGTATAATGATTATACAGACGATTGCATACAAAGCATATCAGCATTTTTTCTGTTCTTGTCAGAACTGCTGCCATCTGTGTGACGTGCAGTGCAGTTTCCCTGTGAGTGGCAGGACTGCGTATCACACAGTTCAGCACTTCTTGTCGGGTATGTATTTCCCAAATGTACAGAAGTAAAATAAATATATGAGTTTTGCGGTGTTTTATTATCAACGACATATGTCATCGTGATTAACTTCTCACTTTCTCTGTTAGAGACCAGAGTGATAAGCCATTGGTTCTTTTTCTTAGACTAACAAGAGCTTGGGAAAAACTGAAGCAGGAGCCTTACCCGGAACTCTCAGCAGCCCCTTCACTGGCTCACTCTATCTTCGCGCCCTTTTCTTAGATGGCTAACGCCGTAAGAAAACTCCACTCATGCTGTTTTAGATTCCAAGTTCAGCAGGTGAGTGGTTATGTATAATTCCTGGATAAACTCAGTTAGGGAGAACTATAATGAAACGATTTCAGGGATGATTGTGTTCTTGTGAGGCTGGGTGGCAGTGACCTTCCCCTTTGGCTTCTGCAGAGCTCCCTTCCCTGCTTAGATCTGAATCCACTTTTCTAGCTGAATGTCTCCAGCAACGGTGGTCTCAGAGGCTCATCTCTTCTAACCTGCATTGCTCAGGACAGCCTCTGATTGTATTATAAAACACAGCAACAGAGAACTGAGACTCTCCAGCCGCGCCCACTCACCAGTTCTGTGAACTGCTGCTCCAGAGCTTGGTATTCCAGGGAGCTTTTGTTGAACAGGTCACTGGAGAAGTGCATGTTGGCAACACGCAGACTGAAGAACACCACCAGCTCCCGGCCCTTGGGGGCAGCGGTCACAGAGCTAGTGGTGATGTACTGCACAGCTGGGACAGGGGTGGTGTCCTCCAGGGGCTGATCTGGGGTAGAAACATAGCCACTGAGTCCTGGGACCTCACACAAGGCAGGAGTGTCAGGCACATCTGTTTTTGTCTAGGTCTCTGACCTTATCTTGGCTGCCCAGATTTGACCTGCTGTCATCTGAAAGGCAGATGGATGTGAAATTTCCAGGGCCAGTTGGCTGATGTTGGAATAATCATGGGTGGGGATGATGAGCCCTGGCCAATGGACACTGTGTCAGTGACACTTTGGTCAGCTAGAGAGAAGATGCTTGGTGCAGTTAATAAAGGCTGAGTTTCTGAGAGGGAAGTAAAGGTCACAGCAGGCAGAGACCAAGAGCTGTGGGGAGGAAGCCCCTGAGATCGATTTCGTTAGACCCAAGTATTCCCCAAAGAATAGAAAATGGAAAAGAAAACCCAAAGTTAGGCTTAACTTTAAAAAAGGTACAGCATTTGCACTGAGCATCTCAATGGTCAAATTTAAAAAGGGAAGAGAGAGCTTGGTACAGAAAGGGCAGACAGGCCTGTGTCTCAAAGTGCAGGCCCCTGCACCCACTTTATTCCGGCCCCATCCTTCTGTATAGTGAGAGGAAAGAGCACCTGCTCCTTAAAATTTCTGGAATTACTGCTCAAGCACAACACACCTGGGGACTAGGTAGTACAAACTAAGTCACAATGTGTGCCAAATCACAGCTGGTACGGGGACAGATTTAGATCTTACGTCCCCACCTAGAACTCCTGAGTAACTAGCTGGGCAGAAACGTTACTCACCTTCCAGTAACACAAGCCTACATTTTATGTGACTGAATTTTTTAGATTCCAGTTATCACATTTTGGTAGTTTACCACTTAAAATTCAAATGATGCATTTCCAAATTTGGGTAATCGCGTCAATTTGCAAAATAGTGCTGAGAGTGCAAAGGTGTGGGTGGCATATAGAATTCAAATGTTATATCGATCACAGAACTTGCCAAGTATTTAATAATATTGAAAACCTTTGCCACTGTTACATTGTTATACCCTGATAATTTCTACCACCCATGTGGAGTTTCTTGGGTAGGTACACAATGAACTACTAAAGTCCACTCTGTTGTTGGTACAAAATCAAAATCAATATGTATTTATAAACTAATAAAGTGGTTATAGGAAACTTTCAGATAAAAAGATTGATGGATTATTAAAATATTCTAATGAACCTAAACCCAGAGCTGCTGATGACATTTAAAGCATTAGGTGATCAAAGCAGGGAGCTTTCTGTGATTATTCCCGTGGCATTTTGGCAAATGTGCAGGAAAACTGTTGAAATCCAAATGCTAAGCATGATAAATGGACCGTCTAGGTGCAGATATAATCTGCGGACTCTCAGTCAGCTAATTTACTACAGTGCAATCACAAGACCGAACCCCCAAGTGATAAACAGCTCTGAAAGGTGGAATCATATTAGTTTTATTACTTTCTTAAAATAAACCTGTCTGTTGGTGAGTTATGACCAGATTTCAGAGAAGTGCTGTCTTTTCTCTCCCCTGGGCAGGGGACCTAGGTGTGTTTTCCTATAATTCACTACCTATAATGTTTCCTAACACCTAAGATCTCTTTAAATATACAATTAAAGTTTTATCCAAACCTCCATGGCTGTGGGCTAAATATGTCCACTCAAAATTTATAGGTTGAAGTCCTAACTCCCCAACATGATGGTATTTGGAGACCTTTGGGAGGATGTTAAGTCATAAGGGTCGAGTCCTCGAGAATGGGACTAGTATCTTATAAGAAGAGATACGAGAGGGATGCTGCCTCCTGCCACGGAAGGAGACAGTGAGGAAGTGGCCACCTGCCAACCGGGCGAGCCCTTCAGGAGGGACAAAGAAGAGCGGCACCTGCCACAGTCAGGGAACAGGTGCCTGTGGGACAGACTGGGAACAGGGGGAGAGCAGGAAAAATAAAATATAAAATAAAGTAGAACCAAGAATAGAAAGAAAAAAAAAGAATAGAAAGAATAAACAGAAAGACGGTTCCTGATAGGAAACTGCCTAAGCCAAGACGTTTGGGTACGGCTGGAAGGGGAAGAGTTTGTGACGGGGTTCGCTCTCATTTGGGAGGCGGAGACCCATGGTCCTCTTGGCAATGTACTACCTGCTTAAAAAGAAGCAAAGGCTGTGCTGTTAGCTTGCGCTCGCTGGCTTGGTGGTTTAGCGCTGGCTGAGTCAAAGCACTTTCAGGTTCTGGGAACCACTTGCTAGTGGTGAGAACCCAACCAGGGCTGGGGTCTTCATTGCGTCCTGACAGCTACGATGGAATTCTGTACCCTCAACCAAGCGTCAGGTGGCTAAAGATATTTTCAAATACACAGAGTCTCCACGATTTTTCCCAGGTACTGTTTCTTCGGACGTGTTTACCTAAATGAGGTGATGGTAAACTAAGAAAGAGAAAGAAATGTGATATGAAGAAAAGTTGGGGAGGTCTCCAGGAAGGAGTGAAGGATTTGCAGATAGGTGCTCCAGGTATAAAGGGCAACCGGTTAAAATTAGATTAATCTCAAGAGACAGGTATATGAGATGCTCATTACGAAGCCTCTAGTCACTGTTCCAGTTTAAAAAAATGTATTTTTCAGCTTTATTAAGGTATAACTGACAAATCAAAATTATGTGCAATTTTATTTTAACGTGACACAACCACGGGAGGATGTGATACGCAGAAGGAGAAACAGTGAGGGAAGGGGTCGGGGAGTCTGGCCAGGAAACAGGCCCAGGGAATTCTAAGGATGATAGGAACAGGGAGACCCGGGTGACAGCTGTCCAGAAGTCTGGAAGAGCAGCAGTCTAGAGAGAAGGAGCAGGGTATCCTAAATCTGAACTGAGGTTTAGCTGATACGAGACATTATACCGAAAACTGCAATGAAAAGTTTGGAAAGAATTAGCAATAAGTACAAAGAAAATTCAGTGAATGAAAAAACAAAACAAAACATTAACTCCAGGAAAACAGAAAGGAAACACAAGCAGACAGATCAGCTGTGGATATTTAATATAAGCACTGACTGTTAATTTAATAATAGTTATACTAGCACCATATTGGGAAGTTTGGTGGAGAGAGAGAGGTTGGTATTGTAAAAACCCCAAACCCTTATCTATAAGAGTGGCAAGTCCATGAAACTGATGACTCAGATATATGGAGACAAGGAGCCGGGAGAAACTGTGTCCCAGGGACGGCTTCTGGGGGGAATGGGACTGAGCAGTTAGAAGTGAGATAGGAAAATGCTGTGTTTGTCAGAATACTTCAATATGATTTAACTTTTAAAAAATTAATCTTCTCATTTTGAGATAGTTGTAGATTCAAATGTAGTTTTAATCAATAGTCCAGAGACTGATGTCTATGAAAACTGCACAGTCAGAAATCTGAAAATCTATTTCCATGAGAGCAACAAATTCTGATTCTGGCGAGAGCATCAGAATTGGCTTTTTCAGACCGCTGGAAAGTAAACAAAAGCGTACTACAACCAAGGGAATGCTTAATTAAGAACAAATAGCTGAATCTCAGTAAAAACAGCGAACTTTGCAGCATTTTGAACTCACCTGTGCTGAACCATCCCCTGCTCTCCAGCTCAGGGGCAGCCTTGAAATATCAGCCCTCACTCCCAGCACTAGTACCCCGGGGGGCAGAACAGGCTCATTCACAAAGAATTGTAGTTTCTGGTTTCAAGCTGTCTCTGTTTCTACCTGGAACTCTGCTGAAAACACACAGGCACATGCACTAAATGCCACCATTTGAGGTGATGGGTAACGGGTAGGCAGAACAACAGACCAACAAAAATTGGAGAGCGAAGGCTGGGGAATGAGTTTCTTTGGGGAACAAGTGCTTTCAAAAGTTTGACATTGTCCTGGGCACCTGGGACACCCACATGCCCAGGGCTGCATTGTGCTTAGGAAGGATCTGAGAAGAACCTACACCCCACCCCCGGCCCCAACCCAGACTTGCAGGAAGGAACAGCTCACGGGAGTGGTTGCTTTATGTCTGCAGGATTTCTTTTTGGGATGCTGAAAGATTTCGGGAATTAGAGAGTGTTGAGAGTTTCACAATGTTGTGAATAGGCTAAAAACCACTGAACCATCTGCTTAAAAATGATTAAAATGGTGAATTTTATGTTTTGTGTATTTTCTCTCCGTAAAGAAAAAATCACGCAGTGATCCTGTGTACCCTGTGCCCAGTTTCTCCTAACGTTAATACCTTGCACACCTGTGGTATAACCAGGATGCTGACATGACAGTCTAGACGAGGGAGCCCTTTCCCTTCATCCATAAATCCCTCATGTGGTCCTTTTACAGTTGTTTTTTTTTTTTTTTTTTGGCTGGGGCCAGCGCCCTCCTCACCCCCACTTCTCTCCCACCCCACGCTCTCATTAACATCCAGAAAACACTAATCTGTTCTCTTTTTCTATAATTTTGTCATGTCAAGAATGTATGGAAACAGAACACTACAGTGTGTGATTTGGGGGTGGCTTTTCTCCCTCCGCACCACTCTGCAGATTCACCCACGGTGTGTCCACCCATGATTCCTTCCTTTTTGTTGCTGAGTAGTCGTCTTCATATGGAGGGACCCCAGATGGCTTAACCAGCTACCCAGTGAAGGACAGTTGGCTTGCTTTATAGTTTTTGGCTATTAAGAATAAAGCTGCTATAAATATTCATGTACATGTTTTTATGTGAACATAAATTTTCTCCTTTCCACAATATGTGATCAGGAGTGTAATGGCTTGTGTGGTAGTTGGGTGTTCACTTTTTGGAGCAACTGTCAAACCACTTTACTGCGGGGCGGTGTCTCCGCCAGCCGTGTGTAAGGGATGGAGGGTCTCTGCATTCTTTAGCGTTTGATATTGTCACTCTCTTTTGTTTTATTCTAGGCTGATTAATGTGCTACGATCGCTCACTGTGGTTCTAATTTGCATTTCCCTAATAGTGATTTGAACATCTTTTCTGCACTTACACGTGTACCCCACCTGTATATCCTACTCGGCAAAATGTCCCTTCTTGTCTTTTGCTCATTTTCTAACTGGATTTTTAAAAAATGGTTAGTTTTGAGAGTGGTTGTCAATGGTATATTCTTGATAGTTGTTGTCACATATGTGGTTTGCAAATATTTTCCTCCATTCTGTATCTTTTCTTCTCATCCTTCCGAGTGTCCTTGGCAGAGCCATAATTTATCCAAGTACTTCCTCAGTATAGGATACGAGAGGCCAAAAAGAAACATGTGGTTTACGCACGAATTCTCCTAACTAGTGTGCTTTTCCCTGACTTTCAAAGCTGTCTCGGGTTTGTTTTGTAATAATGTTCTAGACTGCTTAGTTGCATTT